CGCCCGACTCTCACCTTCGACTCTCACCCCCCCTCCCTCCTGCTTCAGGGGTGCCCAACTCTCACCTTCGATTTTCATGAGTTTCGACTTTCCACGCGAAGCGACTTTTCATGCGAAACGAGTTCTACCTTATTTCCTTTTTTGTTTAGGAACATTTAATTTCTTATGTTTATATTTATCTTATATTTACATGTTCACACAATAACAGAGACATACAATTGAGGCATTTTTTGATATTTGAGTGAAATGTATCCTATTAATAATAATGTTGAATAAAGTATTTGGTGGAATTAAAAAATGTATGTGGAATAATACAATTATACATCTCGAAAATTACTAACTTTAACTGTTAATAACTTTTTAACGAATAACGAGCGACGGCTAAAACTTGTTGGAGGTCACTCAGGGTCATGACCTTGACAACATATGTCAAGGTCAAGGTCATCAGGGCTGGCTCCCCTCATCGGCATAATTACCCAATTTTAGAAAAAAAATTGTTTTTAATGAAATTATATGATCTTTTACATAATCTGAACCTTTTTTTTACATAATATATATCCTTCTAGTTACATATATTCTGCATATAAGTATCAACATACGATTATTAAAAAATCAATAATTTATGAGATATTTTATTCGGACATACCGTGACATAAAAAATAAACTATCATGTAAACAGTTAATTTTTTAATAATTTTACCTAGTGTTGTTAATTTCCCGGGAAATCTAAATCGTCAGGAAAGAACCCGGAACTGGGAAAAAACGTTTATTTTTTAATTTATGTAATTAGAAAACCATCAAATGTCATTATTGAATTTTTTAGCACTTTTAAAGTTTAGCATGAAAAATAAAGTACATTAAGAGGATCCTAAAGACGTCTGTATTACCATCTGTAATAACTAAATTGTAATTTTTGTATAAAAGTTACTTTTTCCCTCTTTTACATATTCGAAAATCCTTTTCTAGGATTAAAGCATACGCATTAACCCAGACGTGTCGGAAGTACGCACTGTAAATGTATGCTACACATTATGTTGGCAAAAATCGGGCAGCAGTCGATCTGTCATTTCAACTAGCGTTAACAAAAATACAGCAAAAATTCTAAAGACACTGCATCACAACATGCTTTAAAAAATGCTAAAAAAATTGAGCAAAATAGTCGTGCGGTATTCCTGCTGCATTACGTGAGAACGGTAATGCAGCAGGAATACCGCACGACTTATTATATCAAATATTGACAGCAAAATCACAGCAAAAATCGAGCACAGCGTGTCGTCACGATGTGACTGTCCAAAACACGGCATATATATATTGCGATCTGCTTTATCAGTTGTTGAAGATAAAAACGCAGCAGAAATCGCGCATAATCTGTCATCACATGTTATATCGTATCATAGTTTTCCCGTTTACCGATAGACGACGTATCTATCAATATTTATCTCGTATTTAAATTTCTGTCACGGGCAAATATAAAGACTACATAACTAGTGAAAATAAAAATGTGTAATATTTTCTTATCGATTTAATTTCTAACACAATTCCTACAGAGAATTCTGAATATTAAATTGATTTTTTTTAAACCGAGCAACAATTCTCTCAATACCGAAAATTATTCATTTATTAACACTGTTTAAGACACAAAAAAATTAAAAATACAATTTCTATTTAGCAAAATCTTATTCTGATTAAATGTACTTCTTTAATAAAAATGCATTTAGTTAATAAAAGTTAAATGTATAATATAAATTATATTTATTATGCGTGTTTTCTGCAGTCACGTCGCGCGTCGTGACGGCAGGTTGTGCTCGGTTTTTGCTGTAGTTTTGCTGTCAGTACATGTGACGACAGATCGTGTACGATTTCTGTTGCGTTTTTGCTTTCATCAACTGATAAGGAAAATCGCGTTCTATATCTGCCGCGTTTTTGCAATCACGTCATGACGGCAGGCTGTGCTCGATATTTGTTATAGTTTTGTTGTCAGTATTTGATATAGTAACTCGTGCTGTAGTCTCGTCACGATTTCACTGTCACAATGTGACGTCAAATCATGCTTGATTTCTGTTGTCTTTTTGCTTTTAGTATTTGAAATGGCAAACTTTGTCCAATATTTGCTACGTATTTGCCATCACGATACTTATAGCAAAGAATGCTCAATTTCTATTGCATTTCTACAGTCATTCTATGTTGGCAGATTATGCTGTTAGAAACTGAGCTTAATGAGGAAGCAGCAGCTTGATATCTGCTGTAACGTCATGATCAAGTTTGCTGGCATACTGCTGGCATACTGCTAGCATTTTGCTATCTGCGAATATGCGTCTGTGAGGTGGAGTTTATGCTGAGAACGACAAAAAATTTTTCTTAAGATTTCAATTTCGAAATTTCTTGTTCTCAGCATAAACTCCACCTCACAGATATGTATCACAGATGCGTATAGCTTGATATCTGCTGTAACGTCATGATCAAGTTTGCTGGCATACTGCTGGCATACTGCTAGCATTTTGCTATCTGCGAATATGCGTCTGTGAGGTGGAGTTTATGCTGAGAACGACAAAAAATTTTTCTTAAGATTTCAATTTCGAAATTTCTTGTTCTCAGCATAAACTCCACCTCACAGATATGTATCACAGATGCGTATACATTAATCTTGGAAAAGGATTTTCGAATCTGTAAAAATAGATAGATCTGTAGATAGTTGAGATAGTTGATACGCGTGACAACAACTGAGTGTCGCTATATGTAAAGAAAATACGGGTCATGCGCGTTCAGGTGGTTTGTCCAAATATGGTGAAAAAACAAAATATCTTTAAAATTTATCCGTTAATAAATCAAATTAATCAAGACTCCTTACAAATCAAGGAATTGGAAAGAGTAAAGGCACTAAGAGTCTGGCGCAGAAGACGTCGCGCAAATAATACACTTATAAAGAGTGAAACTTCTTTATTCACTAAACGCGCTTACATGTTTTGACTCATTTTTTAGCCTTCCTCAGAGCAAACACACATTAACATAGACTCGTATAAAGTAAAAATTATCCTGGTGAGCTCCCCGAAAATAGGGACGCTCACCACGATTACAAAGTACCGTATCGCAAACAATATTATGAATAATTCAAGAACCGGTTCCTGATATGTTGACCAATCGGTATCAGACACAGTGAGTCACTTTTTTAGTTATTAATTAGTACTAATGAAAATTGTAAAATAATAAAAAAATTCGAAGATTGATTTCGGAGATGATATTCATCAGAAGACAAACGCATGGACTCAACCTACAGACGGATATGGAGGGGCTTCTGGTAGGCCTTCGGAAGCCCCTCCATATCCGTCTGTAGGTTGAGTCCATGCGTTTGTCTTCTGATGAATATCATCTCCGAAATCAATCTTCGAATTTTTTTATTATTTTACAATTTTCATTAGTACTAATTAATAACTAAAAAAGTGACTCACTGTGTCTGATACCGATTGGTCAACATATCAGGAACCGGTTCTTGAATTATTCATAATATTGTTTGCGATACGGTACTTTGTAATCGTGGTGAGCGTCCCTATTTTCGGGGAGCTCACCATGATAGGATAATTTTTACTTTATACGAGTATATGTTAATGTGTGTTTGCTCTGAGGAAGGCTCAAAAATGAGTCGAAACATGTAAGCGGGTTTAGTGAATAAAGAAGTTTCACTCTTTATAAGTGTATTATTTGCGCGACGTCTTCTGCGCCCGACTTCTAATGCCCTTACTCTTTCCAATTCTTTAAAATTGATATAAAACTAATTTAAGTATTAATAAATGTCTGTATGAAGTTTGGGATCGATTTACCATGTAGTTATTGAGTATAATCGTTCAAAAAATTACCTTTTCACTCGATGTTTAACATTGCGCTTATGGCGGCTAAGATGCGTTTGCACATCTATACATCGAAAGTTAATAATATATAAGACAGATCGATTCCAAAATTTGAGAAAACTTAATTTACTATCTGCTTAATTGTATGCCGCAAAGATAATGCTCTCGTATAGTATTGATATACGATCGAATAAAAAAATGTAATTTGGCTGTTTTTCGACGCTTTATATTCGAGCTTGTAGACATGGCAATGTTGTTCTTCGAATGTTAACAGTTCTGTATAGGTTATAACATCACATAATTTCCTCCAAATAGTATATGATAGAATATTAAACTGGATATTATAACAAATATTTACCTTTTCTAACCTAGCAAGTCGCGGAACCGCGGATCGAGAGTAAACATACAACGTTACCACATCTAAAACTCGGCTTCTCTACGCTAATGAAATTAGTGTTTCTGTATTTATCATTATTTTAATTTTATTAAATTCAATTATGAAAAAGAGTGCAATAGAGTTTAAAAAATCAAGCTTTTAATTTTGTGCTACACTATTTCTGATATAATCAATCTTTTTATTAAAGCTTGACTAATATATTGGGACCTTGAATAAGTTTTCGCTGTTTTCCAACAGATCGCGTTAACAGAACTGCGTGCGTGTAGTTGAAGATGGGAACACATCGATAAGGAACTATGATAAGCAAGCTTTAAATTCAGTGTATGTCATCTAGCCGAAGTATAAACAACTTTTTGTTTCATAGTGTTAAACATGTCGAATTTCGTGCCAACAAAAGAGTATTTGCGGGGAATTTTACTGCACTACTTTATTAAAAAAAAATCTGCAGCTGAAGCATACAGAATTCTTGTTGAGACTTATGGCGAACATGCTCAGTCGGAAACATGCAGAGATTGATTTAGACGCTTCAAAAATAATGATTTTGATGTTGAAGATAAAGAACGCTCTGGCGCACCGAAAAAGTTTGAAGACGAAGAATTGGAAGCATTACTGCATGAAGACTCATATCAGACGCTAGCTGAACTTGCAGAATCATTAGGAGTTGATCACACAACAGTTTTGAAATTATTAGGAATGATTCAAAAGCAAAGACATTAGGTGCCGTACGAGTTTAAGCCGTCATCGAACGGCGTCTTTTCACGTGTGAACAGCTGCTTCAACGGCAGAAAAGGAAAGGGTTTTTGCATCGTATCGTGACTGACGATGAAAAGTGGATACACTACGATAACCCTAAGCGTAGAAGATCGTGGAGTAAGCCCGGCCATGCATCAATATCATCGCCAAAGCCGAATATCCATGGTTCGAAGTTTCTGCTCTGCATTTGGTGGGATCAGTTGGGTTTAGTTTATTATGAGCTGCTCAAACCGAACGAAACCATTACGGGAGCTCGCTATCGACTACAATTGATGCGTTTGAGCCGACCATTGAAGGAAAAACGGCCGAGCAGAGACACGACAAAGTGATTTTGCACATGACAACGCACGGCCATATGTTGCACAACCGGTGAAAACCTACTTGGAAACGCTTAAATGGGAAGTCCTACCCCACCCGCCGTATTCACCAGATATTACCCCTTCCAATTATCACCTGTTCCGATCGATGGTACATGGGCTGGCTGAGCAGCGCTTTCATTCTTATGATGATGCCAAAAAAATGAGTTGACTCTTGGATAGCCTCAAAAGACGTGTCGTTTTTCCGACGTGGAATTCAAATGCTGCCAGAAAGATGAGAAAAAGTAGTGGCTAGCGATGGACTTTCAGTGACATGTTTTTTACGACTTTTTTAAAATAAAGCATTACTTTTCACGAAAAATCAACGAGAACTTATTCAAGGTCCCAATAGTTGGATTAGAACCACCTTAAACTAATTATTCCATTTCAATATTTACTTCAGACAAGATAATCCTTATATTTCCTTATAAAAGCATTATAAGTGCTTACTTCATAATTTATAATTTACATTATATCTATATTGTAGAATCTACAATATAGATATAATGTAAATTATAAATTATGAAGTAAGCACTTATAATGCTTTTCGTAACATCAAATAAAGCAATTTCCCATTACAAGTTCTTTCCCTCAAAGCGCGTAATTATATCACAACTATGTGAGGCAACGACAGACTTAAACATGTTTCTAAATTTCAAGCAAATATATCGCTATATAAAATCTAAAAATAATAAAAAACGAAATATTTTATGTACTTAAAATATTAAATCATAATAAAATTAATTAATTAAAAAAAAGGAAAATTATCCGTAATACTTCCGTATCATATAGTAAATAAGAGGAATTAGATCGTGGCAACGTCGCATTTTTACAGTAGACGAATATATAGGCACAAGTTATCTGTCAAGCATGTATTTACATGAAACAAAAAAATGTCCGCACAATTGCATTATAAAGGAAAATATATCAAAAATAGTTTTAGCAAAAAAAAAATTTAAAGCGGCTCTTGTGAAGAAACGACAAGAATACGAAAGACAACCTCTTTGTCGGTCCTTGAAAGTGCGACGTTGTCATATCTAATAGACGTCCTCAGTTTTCGAGAAAATGTGTAAAATCAAAATTTTTGTACTCAAACTTTAATATCATGCAATAAATATTTGCAATGTTGTTACACGAGTTTCCTTACAAATTTAATTATTTGAAACACGTTTTTCATTAACTTTTTTTGAATGTGATTCCGAGGCTAAATTCGTGACGCATCACAGCAAAAATAGCTATAATGGTAGATAAAAATCTGTGATGTTTGATCAGTTATATATCAGAAAGGGGATGATAATTCGAGCTCATCTTTTACAGGCATATACAGGGTGTCCCATTTTAATCTATCACCTCAAATATCTCTTGAACAGTGCATTTTAAGGAAAAATGTTTCAGACAAAAGTTTTAGGACTTTGAGGGGGACATAAAATGGTGCCATTGGTTTGATTTTGGGTGGCGTTGTCAAGGTCAGGGCAAGGTCACTTTGAATTTTTTAAATGGAACTCCCCATTTTTCATTACGTATTCTTGTAGCTTACCTCGAGAGCTTTCCAAAACACTATAATTAAGTTCATTTTCATTAAGTACTTTACAAGTTAT